GGGTCGGGATGTACTTCTTCTCAAACTCACCTGGCACCAAGTGGCGCATCCGTCCGTGGCGCCCAACCGTGGCGCCCGCTGCCCGTCCACACGTGGAGTACACGGCTCACGTCTCTGACACCGTCAGGTTCCTTCCTCGTCGTCACAAAAGGGGACTAGTAGTATCAGTAGTACTAGGACCCACAAGGGGTGGTTAATGGACACCCCTTTAAGGGGCCTAAGGGGCTATCAACAGACACCCCTTAGGGTCCTGGTACACATCAAGCTGCCTGGGCATGCTTTCCTTTGTTGTTCGCCTCCAGCGCCAAAAAAAAGAACTCGGCCACCCACCAAGGGCTTGTTCAAAATACGTCGAATCGGTCATACCGCATGCAGGACACGTCGCCTTCACGCACCAACGGTGCCCTTCACCGACCCCTTCCGGAGACAGCCGCGGACAGTTCCGCGGAGACAAAGCGCTGCGTCGCCTGTGAGGTGGCGCTTCACCAAAGTAGTCTTCCCCACACCGCCATCGCCACAAAGCACAAGCTTGAACTCTGGTCCTGCCAGAGTTTAAACCGACTAGTCCGGAAAAAGTCAAGTGGTTGAAGGGGTTTGGGTTTAGGGGTGTTGCTTGAACTGCAAAGTCTGTCCTGGTTGAAGGGGTTTAGGGGTTTAGGGGTTTTGGTCACCGATTGCAAATTCTGTCGTCAACAAACTGTTCACCATGAAGACAATAATACTGCAAGACAAGATACTGCCCTTCTCTGAGCATCACCATAAGTAAGGACTAGGAGAGGGTGGGGGCATTGCACAACCCCTACCGTCCGCATCCAAGTTGAAAACTCTATAGAAGAATAATTTGTGGAACGATTACTCAATGTCAAAAAAAAAGAGTTATCTCACGAATGAATGCCGAGTTGATCAAAACCAAGGGTATGCAATAAATAAAGGAATGTGAAATGCGGTCTCGCGTCAAGCTTGGGAAAGGCTCTACCAGGCTCTACTATCCCTGGCTCCAGAAAGGTTCTTTACCACGAGCTTGTTGATCTTACATCACAAACCAACCAGTCACCTTCCATCCGTGGCTCCATCCCCTGGCTCCGCCTCCTGGTCCCGCCATGTTTGTGTCACAGGTCTCTGGACTCGCAACGAGTTCGCTTTCGTGGACCCGCTTTCTGGAGCCCCCAAGCGGACGGACGAGGACCGTGGGCAGGCGGTTCCATGGACCGGGTGCCGAGGCAAAGGACGAAAAGAAGACGAGGCAAGCTGTGCTTGGTTTCTTCCTGATGGTGTTCAAACCTTCAGAGGTGCCAATCGAAAGCGAACTCCTTCAGAGGTTTCCTGCGATTTTTAGAGGGTCATCTTCAACAACATGCGGGGGGCCGAATAGTAGGATCCCCGTTCAAGAGCACCTTGGAGTTCAGCGAGGCATCCTCTTTTCCAAGAGGAGCTCCTCCTCACCACCCGAGGTCTCTTGCACCTGCCACTGCTATGTCCCTGGTTCTTTTCGAAGCAAGAATGGATCAACCAAAAATGGATTTGCTGTCCAGGGACCAGGAAAAAATCGAATGTACTTCCCAACCCAGGGGATGAATCCCCATAGGGACAATAAGAACCTCTTTTGAAGCAAAACCCGGAAGTCGTGGTCAACAACGATCCATACAGCACCACGATTCTGGCCCTCGGCCCGGCCCTCCTCACCCAAGACTCAAAACCTCTCCAATGGTCAATAGTACATCAAAGGACGAACCCCCTCCCGTCATCGGTCTTTTGTTTCTCAGCCAATGCAACCGTCGGCACAGCCGGCCGCCCGTTGGAGCGATAGAACGAACGGGCCAAGGGAGAAGCTAGACTAGATGAAGAAGCTTCCCAAAAACAAACAGAGCCATCATGCAAAGAAATGAGCCGCCACCAAGCCCTGCGGCTGCCTTTCTGTTTTTTTCCTTGCTCATGCCAAACTGCTGGGGATTTGTCCTGAGAGCTTCCGCAAGACCGCCACCGTCCCTGCCTGCGATGCTCCCCGGCAGGGTCCGAGATCGGTTGCTACAGAGCAGATTGTGCACCCAAGCAACCATGGGATTGTCCACAACAACTGACCACCCTTCGATGAAGCGATGAAGCAATTCTTGCTGGGAAGGGGAATGCCTCATGCCGCTGACAGTGGATCTGCTAATCGCGGAGTGTTCTTGCAGCAGAATAAAAATCCAAAACTATGTGAATAAGGCAGGGTTCCGCTGCCCTCCTCACCAGAGTCCGATCCCAGCCAATGGCAGTCTACACACATAGACATTCAGAGCTTTGCAACAGAAAAGCTCCAAACATCCTTTGCAGCCTACCACGAAAGACCGCATTCCTATACCTTTCTCCAAGTGCCATATGCCTTAACGTCTCAAGTGTCATTTCCATACACTTTGGTACATCCACCAGATCACAGAAATCCAATCAATCGCAATCTCCTAACCCTTCATAGAATCGACGTGTCCTGGCCCTGGTCCGTTCCTTCAAAAGCTTCTCTTAGATCCTTAGAGAAAATAGAATCAGAAGCAAGAGGTTCAATTCCAACAGCTTTAAACACATTCATCTATGGAGAAACTCCATCCAAAAACATCAACATTAACATCCACACCTTCCCCTCTTCCCTCCGAGCCCTCCCAAATCTATACCCACCAAACCCACCACAAAACCCCGCTTTTCACGCCCCCACGCGCCTCCTTCAGCGCCGGCACCAGCTCGGGCCACTCTGCCAGGTTCGTCAGCGCCGAGGCCGCGCGAAACGCGGCGCCCGACCGCGCGCCGCGCGTGGCGAGCGCCAGCAGCGGCGCGAGGCCTAGAGGGGTCGGTCCAAGGTGATCGAGGTGGATGCTGAAGGGTTGGGTTGAAGCTTACAGCGGTGAAGTTGGGTTGGGTTGGGTTGGTTGGGTTGGGTTTGTTCAATTTCTTGCCAGAGGTGAAGCTTAGAGCTGCGGTGTTTGGAGTAAAAAAATCGTATCACGCCAGCAGTTTTTGGGTGTGGGTTGGCTTTGGGAAATGTCCGTTGTTGTCCTTTTGGTCTCACCGAGTTGGGGTCCAGCTGCTCGTCCGTGGGACCTACAGTATTCCTGCACCACGGACTGATCTTGAAAGAACATGTGACCCCGGACGAGAAGGAACCGATCTGTTATGCAGCTGAATCCAACCCTGGAGGAGCAACATAAACCAAACGAACAAAGAGGTTTTTGTGACCTGAAAAAGGACCATACTGGGGTACCTATGGGATAGTGGAACTAGGGCTCTTCAACCTCTGTTGGTAGGTTCTAAAGCACGAAGGTTGACCAGTGGCTGTCTTTTCTGGAGTGGCTTGTTAGTCAACATTGGATGCGCTCGGGATACCCGCTAGTTACCCACAAAAGTTCATTGGGCTATATTGCGATAGCAGGTCGGCCCCCTCAAACCAAACCACATTTCAGAAGCAGATTCCTGCCACTGCCTGCCACTCGAAACAGAAACCTCACATTGATCATCTACCATCATTCACTCAATTCACTCCAACCCGATTTCGCCTGTCCTCTTGTCCTCCCGTGGTCCGCCTCCCGCGTCGTGCACCGCGCTGGCGCCGCTCCGGTCGGCGGCGATGTTCCGCAACCTCGCGGGACTCGCCGTCTGCTTCGGTCGCCGTCTGCGCGCACCACGCGAAGGGGGGGCCGAAAAGGGGAGGAGGTTCTTGATGTTGTTTTCGGTTGGCACCGGTGGTTGTCGGAAGCGGAGTTGTGCGGTGATTGGTTTCAAGAAGCCACTGGCAGGTCATCACTGGCAGCAGGGTCAAATACACAGCGATGGGGGTCAACCCGGTGTCACATGGGAAGCCCTGATAGCAGCTTGTTCCAACCCGAAGCAAGGGCCACGCATCACATGGGGAAGGATGATGATGGACGTCTTGGGCACTTCAAAAACCAGGAAGGGCACTTCCATGCGAGCGGGTCGGAGTGCAGGCTTCTTTCAGATCCAGTTTCTGCTCCAAGCAACGTCTGTGCTGCGGCGGCTGCAACCTGGCCACACATGCATGACTCGTTCTATCCATGGGGCAAACCTGTATTAAGCACCCTCGGCCATCTGCCAGCATACTGTTGCGAGCTGATCATCTGTATGATCACCCAGTCCTTCTGAACAATCCATCTTGTCGATGACAAAAGGAAGCGGATCACACACAGTAGTGGATCTTTGGAAAACAAACAAAGAAAAAACAATTCACGCTCTGTGTGCGTCAAAAGACCCATGTTCTGCCGCTATGGATCGCGCGATTCGCCGTCCATCTCACCCAGCCCTCCAGGCTCCGGCACGAGGCGCCTCGCAGCCATGACTTCCCTGATGACTTAGCAATTGGTGTCCCAAAATGTCTTCCTGACTTGTTGAAACATGTTGTATCTGGCAAGAAGCCCTTTGCATTCTACAAGTCCCTGTTGCATCCATTGGTGTAGAGGAACATAGTCCACCCGGATCCACAGGTCCTGTTTCAGAGTTTCACATGATCAAAAGAGGGCGTGTCCGCAGTCAACGCACGAGTCCTCCACAGTTTTGCACCCCACCCACCCCTCACCCAATGCACCGTCCCTTTTGGCGCCTCCTCCTGGGCGGACGACAGCAGCGCCAGCAGTTGCGGCACCGCGCCCAAGGCCACCGCGGCGTCACGGTGCTCGCGGGCGCCGCAGCAGAAGTCCTTGGTCTCAGGTCGAGTGGCACGATGCCATGCCAGGCTGCCAAGCTACGGGTGATGGCTCAATGATTCAAACGGTGAGATGTCCATTCCCAAGTGAGATGAACTCCGTTTCTGGATTCAAGTTGGAGCCACCCTATACCTCCTCTTGGATCGTTTCTCATGAGTTCTCAAATCGATCGTCATGGCATGTGCTTTACGGTAGTCAAGTGGTTCTCCTTCTAAACCACTTCCCCACCCCTTCCTGAAATCCATCCTGCAATTGTCTGATTCCCTTCCCAAAAAAAAAAAAACATCGCCCAAAAACATGCAGCACGCGCAGCACGCCTTCTTGATCCCTCACACATGCACCACCTCTTTGAAGGCTCTTCTTTGGAGCACAACTCCTCGTCGCCTCCGCCCGAGCCGGCGCCGGCGGAGCCGCCTTCGCCTTCGCGGGAGCTTCTGGCAGCGGAGGTCGCTGCCACCATTGCGGCCCGTCATAAACTTGGAGATTTGATCCATGATGCCCTCCTTGGATATGAGGGAAATGAAGCCAGAAGTTAAAAAAAGACATCGAACTCCCCGGAGGCGCCGAATCCAAACTCATAGGGAAAGTAGAAATCACCCCAGAACCCATGCCTCCTCAGATGGGTCGGTCAGAAGAAAACAGTGTTCTTTTTTTCGCTCCCGGGTGCTTGTAGTTGGAAAAAAAAGAAAGGCGCCGTCAACAAACCTTGGAAGCCCACAGACTATGTCAAGTCCTACATCAACTCAGAGTACACCCCAAATACCCTCATTACAAGGCTCCGGAGAGGCGCAGCCTTGCACTCAGATTACGGACTCAGACTTTCCCAGCAAAAAAGAACCGATAAAACCGATGCCCAAGAATACCCCAAGACCTGAAGAAAGGCCCCAGCCACGACCTGGCTGACCCCTGGCGTGACGATTGCTGGGGAGCGGTTTTTGAGCTCAAAGTTGGTCTGACCGAGCACCATCCATCTCACGGGGTTTTTAGCTCACAACGATCGAATTATCTGAGTCCATGGTTTCAGTCCGAGGGTCCGTCACAGCCCGTTTTTCCAGCCCTCGGTTCAGTTCTTCCATGGACCTATGACTCGGAAATGACCTGTCGGACCTCAACAGGTGTCTTCAGCTTTGGTCCAAGGCTCGTAAGTAAAGTGGCTTTCACGCATCCTCAGTATATTCGCCTCAATGAGCTCCAACTTGGACATGTCCGAAACCACACGATCCAGGGTACTGCCCAAGCTCTTGATGTTGGTGGCAAAGCCAATCACCTCCTTCTCCCAGAGCTCTCGGTAGTACAACCAAGGTTCATCATCCCAAATATAGATTGGCACCCTGGGCGACGTCACCCGAACGGCACCGGAAGAAACGCCGTTCGTCCTTCGGCCCTGCGCTTTCCGCGACCGATGGCCTTTCGGCCTCGGATGGAAGGATCGCTATTCTCCACCCGCCCTGGTACACGAGGCGAGAACTCACTCGGGAGGGACGGTGTTTCAGCAGCGACTGGCGCAAAAGAGCTTGAAGTGTGGAAGTGGTTGCGTTTGGTGTTGTCGTTATATAATGTTATATAATCTGCTGTCTCATTGCTTCTTGCATCTTCTTGCTCTTGTTCATCGCGTTTCGACCCCTATGTTTGGTGCTGTCGTTGTGTGTTATCAATGTCATGCTTGGTTGTCTGCAGTCCATTGGTCATTGCTCGGGGGATGCGCTGCACTCGGAAACCACTCGTCCCGGATGTCTGCACCACTCGACGTTCGTCCACCAGGTCAAGCCCCAAACAGGAAAGAGAACGTCGGACCGTCGGAGGACAACTCTCCCTGTAGAACGTCGTGCACGTCGTCGTGCACGACGACGTCTTCGGAACTCATCCCGGTTCCAACACGTTGATCTCCGCACGTGACGGGCGAAGAAGAAATTTCGTCACCAGGTCACCAAGAGAAGGACGCACCAGAACCCAACGTCAAGTTAAGTGAACACCTGAGGAACAAACGCCTATATAATCTAAATCAATGTCGACTCTTCACCAACAACGGAGCTGCGCTTCACCGATGCCGTTGTTCGGGCAAGCCCGGCGACATAGCAGACATGGCCAGGCAACCGACCCATCTGAAAGAGCTCCCCTGAACGAAAGGAGGAGCGCCCGAAGCCCCTGGGGCTCAGGGCCACCGTGGTATTCCTCGGTGAGAGACCGTGGTTACACCGTCGGGGCCAACGTGCGGTGTACGTAGTCACTAGGCCGGCAGACCGGCGTCCGAAGGGAGCATGAAAAGAAGGGTCGAAGAAGTCCTTAAATCGTCTAAGATCCATCGAAAAGTCCGAAGAATGTTCGATGGGAAAACAAAAGGTTGTTGGGTAAAGACTCTTGAATCAGTGGTGGTTAGAAGCCTGGGGTATAGATACACTGTGGAAGTGGACAATAGGCCCCTGGAAGTGGACGATAGGCCCCTGAACGGTGTTTCCACTTCCGAGTCGACCCGGACTGTACCGGTCCTTCGTCGACCACTGGTCCTTCATGCATCGCATGGGTACCACTCTGCAGTGGCGGAGAGAATTCAGGAGGTGAAATAGATCCGAGGCAAAGATCAAGAATCAGTTAGAAGTCCCCCATGGCCTCTCATGAAATGGGAAGTGAGAGAAGCATCACTAATGACTCCTAACCCCTTCGCGACCCCAAATAAAATGGCCACTGCTTTTCGTCGGAAGAGCGCATCAAAACGTCTTGGACAAGGAAATAAGCCCTAGGGTGTCAAGCCCTAAGCAGTGAACGAAAAGCCCGCCCAAGACCTCCCGCCAACCCCTGAATGGGGACCTCGAGGAGTTTTCTCTCTCACTTCCAAAACTGTGTGACTTCCAGTGGTCTTTGGGCATCTTTGGAAGGTCTTGAAACCTCCTCATGTCCCAGCAACGTCAGGATGTCCTGCCACTCGTTCATCGTCTTCAAGGAGATGAATACCTCCTCAAGAGACAGTCTCCATCCGGGCAGAAAAAAACAAAGAAAACATGTTCAGTTGGAGGAACTCCACGCGAGTCGTTCAGCACTTGTAGGTGTTCATTCATCGCCGCGATGGTCCTCTCTCTCATGGACCTTCAGAGTCTTCGACACTTCTTGGACCCGCAGGGGTCTGCGTCGGAAAAGGCTAGCGTCCTTGCTCCGTTCGTCGTACGGCCTGCCCCGTTCGTAGCTTCTTGTTCCTAGTAGGGCCAACATTCCTAGTAGATCCGCATGAAGCGTCGGTGGCAAGGCCTTCAACATGAGTCATTCATGATCGGATCGGTTTGTCGAGGCCCAGAAAACACACTCAAAACACGCTCTGCACCTCTGGCTCTCATCGGAAAGAGCAATGAACCCCGATGGGGTCACAAGTCCACTTCAAAACTCTTGCAGTACAGTGCTTCCAGGGATGACAAAGACAATGCAAAAGGACCAAAAACCTTCATCTCCCAATCTACAATACTTTGAAGCTTTGTGTCATTCACTACAACATCGGTCCATCCTGGGAGTTCATGAAACAGGTCGGGAGTCACCAACCAAACATCTTCCCATCTTCCTCGCGCCAAACACCAGGACGCCCCAGCACGAGGCACGATCACTCTCTTTCCTCCACCCCGCCGGGGGCGTCTTCCCTCTCCTTGCCAGTTTGCTGCGCCCACTGCTCCGTGACTTTTTTCATGGTCTCGCGCACCGCCTTGTTGTTGAAGCCACTCCCCACGAAGGACCTCTACGACTGAGGCGTAGACACGACGACAGGGCGGCTTCAAGCGATGTGGAAGCGAACCAGGACGGCCAGAAGAGTCGGTGGATTCATCCCAAGGTTATATACATATGTAATAGTAATAATAATACTAATATACTACAATTTTGTTTAACTTACATATATAGGTATGTTATAGGCTTAGGTATGTTATAAGAGTAATAATAAGACTAATGTATTACCAATTGTACACTTACCTATAGGTATATTATATATTATATAGGTACGAAAAAAGAAATACTCAAAACACTGTAAATATCAAGGAAAACAGTCAAAAGATCTCAAAAGATTGGTTTCCTGGGGGAATGCATACCTGACATACCTTCTTTCATTGCAACAGCTGGAGGAAAAATGAACCTTTGAGGTGTTCCCTCGTTTTGCCTTGTTCTCTTTGCTACGTGACCCTCGAGTTGTGTGGATGGCCTCGAGTGGTCCGTCGTCCAAAAAAAACAAACAAGTGTCTGTGGGTGTCATCCGATGTGGGATTCCATTGATTCTCCTTGTCTGTAGGTTGAAAGTGGCAACTCTCCAATAATACTCCCACAAGCTAGTCAGTCACAAGATTCTACTTTCGTTCCTGCTATCTCTTGATGGTCACTGACCACCCTTTCCCCCAATCGGCGCCGTGCCACGTGAAGTAGCGCCTCGAGCGTAGAGGGAGGCCCATCAGTCGCTTCTCCGGCTTTTTCAGGAGTGGGATGGGCACATGTCCGTTGCCACCGGCGCTCAGAACCAGCAAGTTCGGCATCTGTGCTTGAGTCATCCTGTTGTTCCTCAGTTTTCGGCAACTCCTGGGAGCCCAAAGACCCAAGATACTCTCTTGAACATGAACATCAGAACTCTACGTCGACCGTCTCCGCTTGGAACCCCAGGCCTCGCTGATTTGAAGAGCCCCAGGTCATGCTGAGAGACCGTGATGTACCTTGCAGCTCAGCGCGTTCCGCCGGTCGCTCCGGTCGCTCCACCGGCGGAACGCCCCCCGGCGCCGATCCCGTCGTCTTCCTGCAGACACGGGCACAAGACGTCTTTTCGCATGGTCTTGTTGAGGATCCTCGGTGGGGAGAACCCGAAGTGGTGGGGAGAACCGGCGCTTCGATGTTGTGAGAGAACCTTCAGGCGAAGAGGTGTGTGAAACAATGTGTGCGCCCCCTTAAAGAAGCCACTGCCAGAAGCGCTTCTTAAGGCATCAGGGCATCAGAGCATCAGCACTTCTCCAATTTCCCCAGGTGTTCAGGGCTCTCTTTGTGGTGTCTCTTTGTGGGAACCCCAAGCAACCTTGAAGATGTTTGGTTCTCAGCGAAGGGGGGGTCATCTCCAAATTCGTCGGACAGAGCAAACACAAAATGAGAAAGTATAAAAATCGTCGGAGACAAACATCTTTGCCTTTAGAAGGATCGGTTGTTTCCAAAAAAAAGAAAAGCACATCTCTTGCAAGTTGATACAAGCGTACAACTGGATTTACACCTAGAACAACGATAGTTGTAGCTTGACTAGCAAAAACAGTTGTGCGCTTATATATGTTGGCAACAGCTCCCAAGCTGGGTGTCCCTCAATAATTTCTGGTATGACTCCATCGGAGACTCCTAAGGTGTTGCAGGCTTGCCAACTTGCAAAGACCGAATTTTGCAGCTTCCGGCTTTCGCACCATTAGGATCTGTGGCTGGCCATGAGACCCACAAGATGGACTGCTGAAAGAAACAACATCTCGTCAGTTCCAGGATGCTCCAAGGTCTTTTCAAGAGCCAAAGAATTCAATAAAAAACTGGAGCTTCAATGGGGCGTTCAATGGAGATCCACAAGTAGTAACAGGATAGTCGGATAGTCTATTGGAGACCCCTTGGAAGGTGCTGGTATATTCGTGCGGCAAAAGCATGTGTTTATATCTTTCCTTTTTCATCCCTCCACACTTCAATAGGCATTTACCATCCACCAGTACATTTTTCTACTTCTCCCCCCCCCGGTTCCCCCCAAAACAATGTCGCTCCACAAGTGCAACGATGCAACAAAAACCGACCCCCCCCCAAAACAAAATAAAAAACACGACGCGTCCCAGTGCACTCCATCATGCCCATGGGGTAGCCTTTTTGCCTCACCACCAGATCCACGAAGGGCGCGAAGATCGGGATGAAGGGCCCAAAGATGTCCCTCAACTTCGTCCCTTCGGGGCGACTGCGCCATCTCCTGAGCTCCCGCCAAGCTCGCGGCGTCGGGAGCTCGGCCGAGCAACGGTCCGAAACGAGTGCGGAGTGAAGACCAAGGGTGGTCGATTTGGGCTCCAGAAGCGATCAGAATTGGGGTCACATTCTGCTCCCCCAACGAATCAGCCGAGGATTGGGATGGACCAAGTTGGACCAAAAACGGGCCCGGCAGCCTTGTTCAACCCCCAAAAATGCCAGCTGCTTTTGGGCTGAAAGCCTCAAACACACCAGCAGTCCCCCCCCTCTGCCAACTGCATCCAAAATCAAATCCGGCCCAAATCTGTTCACTCCAGGCATCTGGCTGAAGTTCCAGATCCAATGATTTTCGACCCATGGGCCGCTGTACCCGGCCCAGACGTGCGGCTGAAAGTTGGGCGCGAAGAAGTGGCTCAACGTCTCGTTCACCTCGCGAGACACACGCACGCACCGAGCGAGACACACGCGGCGAGACCCGCGGCGGTTCGTGTTGAGCCCTACCGTGTCGGCAGGAACGTGGTGCCTTGGTGAGATGCCTTGGTGTCCGTGTCGGTGGAATGTGGAAAAACTCACACCATATTGAAAGAAGGACCACCCCTTGGGTGAAACCGATGGTTCACCAGGTTCGTTTCACCCAGGTTTTTCCTCGGACTGCGGGGGACGCCTTCGGGTGCCTGCGCGGGTGCCTGCGCGGGTGCCTGCGCGGGTGCCTCGGTCGACCCCTTTGGGGCGGACCAGTTCGACGGCCAAAGAGGAAGAATCCACTGAGACCTCCCAGGAGTCACGTGGAAGTCGGGGTGCCGAACTTGGAGGAAGGAGTTGGGTGCCCATGATCCACTCACTTATAGGGACTATAAGCCATCCCTTTGTGACTCCTGGTCAATGTTTTTTGAGGGTTGGAGTTGGAGGGTCCATAAGTGTCTGGTAGATGAGTGCAAGTTGAAAGCCCACCCAAACATCCTGAACAAGCGCGACGGAGCGTCCTCCAAGAAGTGCGACTCGGCATCAGTGGGGTATGTAATGTGGGTGAGTTGAGGGAAGCTCAGCTGTAAACATGCCAAGGCTTTCTCTTCCGTTTCGACCTGAGCTGGAGCGTTTGTGATGCAGAGAAGGAAGCGAATTCGGAGGAAGTGAAACAAGGAGTTACCGATCTCTAAGCTTGTCAAGTGCCAGACCTTCAACTTGGAGCCAAAGCACCCCTAGCTTCCCTGCATGGCCTGCCTTGCGAAACCTGTTGGAAAAAAAGTAACTAAAAACTGCATACCCCGCGGTACCCAGCGGCTGAAGTGGCTTCTGTGGCCGCCATGGTCGCTCCGCCTGTCTTCATCTCGCTCGCTGGGCTCGTGGTCGTCGTCGTCGTCGTCGTCGTCGTCCCTCTTGGCGGAGCCGTGCTCGGAGCCGCGATGCTCGGCGGAGCCGTGGGAGCCGCGCTGCTCGGGGCCACGGTCCAGTGCTTTGGCTCGGAATAGACCTCCGTAAAGGCGTCCTGGCGAACAAGTGCTTGGAGAGTAGTTGAACGAAGAGATCTAAATCATTGCTGTTTGATGGCATGTGTTGATGAAGTTGCTTTTGAAGAAACGCATCTCTGAAAGCTTCTGGGACCCGTTCTGAAAGCTTGTGGGACCCTGTTCTCACCTCTTCTTCGAGAATTCGTGCGCGCTGGTTCAGGGACTGTGGATGATTTGGGATACACTCCTGAAATAATCATGGAAGTGGATGGCATGGATCATGTTCCTCTACAAACAGGTGGTGAACTCCACTTCCAGACCTGATCGCCTTTACGCCCAACATGGAAATTGTTGAAACATCTTCTTCAGACAGCCCGAGAATAGCAAGGAAGTCCCACCTACCTAGCTCTACCTGCCTGGCCTGGAACCAAAGGATACCAAGCCCCTTTCCCACCCTTTAGAGCTCTGCCCCCCGGCCAGGTCGTCATGTTGGTGACTCCGAATGCCCCACGTATTACTCCGCCCAGTCCGCTCAGCCCCTCGGCTCAGCCGTCCTGAACCTTCGTGTTCACGACTTCCTCCAGACTGGAGCTTTGGAGCTGTGCAGCTTCCCAGATGGTCCCAGCATAGAAGGACAGAGCGCAGAAGAAGACGATCACCACGCTGCAGAAGCAGCACCGAAAGCAGGTCCTTGGACGTGACGTTGATACCCTCAGACCCTCCGGCAAACAAGCATCAAAAAACTGACAGGATATTGTCGTTATTGTCCATCAAACACACAAAAAATAACATCATCATGATACTAGATACTAGATACTAAATTTCCAGGGAGAATCTGAAGGGGTCCAGTTGTGGTGCAAGATCGCAAGTGCCGTCAGTGGAGGAGAATCCTGTTCCCAACCACCTCAGGCAGTTTCCACGCTAGTTTGAAGAAGCGTATGTCTTAAACTCCTGAACCCACTGCGGATCTTTCTCAGAGTCGCAAGTCCATCCTTTTGGTGCATCTTTTGAAGGAATTCTTGCACTGTTGTGCAGACCCGTCGGAGATTTACATCTAGAGTACCAAAAACGAGCAAGCAACCAAGGTTCACCGCTTGGGATCTACGTCAAAGACCATGCCTGACCCTTGGACCAGCCACCAGACCCAGCAGTACTCGGCTGCCCAATCCCAAAGGTCAACGGATCCCAGGATGAACGAACGGATCGGTTTCACGAACGGAACGCCGGAACCAAAACAAACACTTGGATTGGATCTGCACATGTCCGGTACGAAACCCTAATCTTCACATCACTTCTGGGTGGGGTGAATCCCACCACACTTTGAAGGGGCATCAAAGACTTGGACACCAATGGATCCAGGAAAGTTCTGCCTTCACCCAAGACCAAGGCACCTTTTGGGGAGAGATCCCAAGGTTGGTGAGTTGCTGGTGAGGATGGATGTGTCCAAGTGAGCATGGTGTATTAAAAGCATAGTGACCCCAAAACAAACAGAGCAGTGAATCCCCTCTTTAAGAGTCTTGAAAAACCGTGTGGATCTGTTGAAAACTGAAGTTCCAATCCTTCACGCCCCATGTGGATCCACGCGACATCTCTGTCACCCGTCGATGCACCCTCATTGATGTACATTTAGATTCGATTCGATGCACCGGGAGTTTCAACTCCCCATGGTCCCCATTCATCGAAACCATTCTTCTCCACTGAGACCACCGCCCATTCCTCTAGAGCCACCTCATGGGACGGACCGCTCAAATCAAGTCCAAGACGGTTCATGAATCATACCCCTACCTACCCCCTCCCTACCCCCTACCTCACCATTACCTAGATTTGGTCCAACACGCCAGGACGGAAAAACCTTGGGCCGTCCTGAATTGTCTGCGTGTGAACCAAGATGGTCCTGGAGTCGCACAGACTCACGTTCATTCTTGGTGCTGAAGAATGAGATCTGACACCATAGTCAAAGATGTAGATTTCAGTCAATTGCCGTGATAGCACATCTCATGTCTCATCTTGAATCTCTCCTCAAAAACCCTGTCCTCTCCTTTCGTCTCACCGCTCCTTACCTCGAAATGAACCAACGGCCCTCACACCCGCATCGCTTGTTCCAAGCGTCTCGGTCTGATCGCCCTCTTTGAGAGCCTCCTGAGCCTCCTGGACCGCTAAAGGTGCCGGTCCGTCCTGTCGGACCGGAAGCGGAGGTGACTCAGATCTGTAGGATGGTCAGTCTCCCAGGTGAAAACCAGGTGAACATTCCGCTGGGAACCTCTGTGCAACAGTCTGGGTCTTTGAAGGGGAGTGATACTGCTGCCCTTGCATCACCTTGCGTTGACCTTCCAACATGTTCACAGTCAGCTTGTCAGGTCATGGAGTGAAAAAGTCATTATATAATGATTACTAACTACAAGTAGCTCAGGTAGAAATCCCTACAGCGATCAAGTTCACACAAAAGATGTGTATATATATATATTGCAAAGCGCGGAATGAGCGCAAAACGAACCTTTTCACGGGCTCGCTAGGGCTCAAGGCCTAGGTACGGGATTCGAGCCAAGGCATCACGGGAAGTGACCTCATGATGTTCCTCTTGGCTGCTGTGTCCTCTGTCCGTTCGTGAAAGGTCATTCGCATGGTCCATCAACTTTACATTCCTCAACATTCTGTGACCTTTCACGCTCTGACATTTGGACATCGTGATGTGAGCTGCTTGCTCCTGATCTTGAGATCGGGGCTTCAGCATTGATCTCATCAGCAAGCATCTGCATTTGTTGGCTGATGCTATTGATGTTTTCTTCATCTTTGTACACGCACGCCGCTTCCCACATCACTGTCAGCAAAAAGTACTTCTTTTCCTTTCTTGTCATCTTTTCCCAGTTTTCCTGAGTCATGCCGATGTTCTTCCTTGTCATTGCATCATGATCATTTCCATGATCTTCCTCAAAACTCTCATCTTCATCATGCGGGGCCAGCCGACCATCTGCTCCTGGCTCCACAAACAACTCCGGCACTGCGGGGTCTTCCAGCATGCTCATGACTTCTGACTCCGTTGGAGTCCCTGGGGCTTCTCTTCTGTCCTGCCTCTTCAACAGGATTGCTCGCTTCTCATCTGAACTCATGGATGGGGTCCGATGCCTTTTCTTTTGCTTCAGACGTTTCTCTAAATCCAGAGCTCTCACTTCTTGTCGTTCTTGTTTGTATTCAATCCTGATCAACCTGTCAATGACTTTTGTGATCCTGAAATTGCTTTCTTCTGCAATGTCGTCCATTTTCTGGTAGGTGAATCGGTTGCTGTCACCAATGAACGCTGAGACTTTCTTGAAATCCTCGTTGATGGCGTGCTTCATGCGATCCATCCCTGTCAGCATGATGTTGTTCTCATTGAACATTTGTGACATACCTGCATGAATCAGCTCCTGAGTCTTCTTGCGTTCTTGGCCCAAAAGGGTAAAGATCGTTGATGTCTTTTCATCAAGTCTTTTCACCAGCAACACTATCATGATCACCATTCCACCCCACATCAACATCAAACATTCTGAATTCTGTGAAACTGTTGTCTTCAACCCGATCACGACCACCAGCATTGTTGTGAACGAAACAAGTGCACCTTGTTTGTACAATGCAAGGTCCTCATACCACAAAAACCACTCCGTGTAGTAAGTCGTGTTGTACCAAAAGAGACCTGTCAGCACAATGATCACGCACGCAAACATCAACTCCCATGGAAACTGGGGCAGGATCGTCCTCACGTCCGGCTCGGCATTTGTAGGGAGGAACTGCTGCGCAAATGAAATCATCAGTACGGACTTCGCACTTACTCCGGGACTTGTGGATGTATGGGTTGTCCTGTTGGGGCTTGCTGAACTTTCATTCTCCTCAAGTTCAATCGGCTTCTGGTTGATCATCTCGGCTTCTTCATGGCTGTTCACCTTTTCTGGCTTTGGCTTTTCTTCTGGGCTTTCCAGCTTCCGGCTCCTCGATGTCTCTGGCAATCTTGGATCTGGGCCAAGTGTCCACTTGTTGGAGTAGAGCACATCGTTCAAATAAGCCAAGCCTTTTCGATGAAGCGCCTTTGTCAATGCATCTGCCAGTTGTTGCTCTGATGGCACCCACTTGCATTCAACACCTTCTTGCAAGCTTTGTCGGATGATTGCTGCCTCCAAGGACAGTCTGCGATCAGAAAGCAACACACGTTCTGACTTCATGCAATCATATAGTGATCTGCAATCTGTCACCGTGACACCTGGCACGCGATGCAAATGTTCCTTGTAGTGACGCATGTCCAAATCTCCATGCAACACTTCCAAAATGGTCGCTCTCAACCAACTGAGGGCATCCAGAGCTTATGAGCAGGAATAGGCTTCAGCACTCAAGGTCGACCGCACCACTCTTTGTATTTTGGATGATGTCCAATGAACAAAATGAATGTGGTGTACCTTCGTCCGGTCCTTGATCAACTCGGGGGTTGAAATGCCCAGCCAATATCCCTTTTGGCTCTTGTGACCTGGAAGATTGTTGAAGGATGCATCATGGACTGCTACCACTGCAATGTCTTCCGGTTGCCAAGCCATGCCTGGTCTAAAAATGAGCTCCTCTTCTTGATGGTATTGTTTGACTTCTCTCACCAACTTTGATGCTTCCTTGAGGCTTGACATCCTCAAATCCTTGATCTCGCTGGCAAGTCTGCTGACCTGGAAACCAATGGAGTACCCCATAATCCGGGCATACCACTGCAATTGACCAAGTAGTCCTCGAAATGCCTTGGTTTCGCTTGGTGTCAGCTTTGCATTGTTGTCTTTGCCACGTTCTCGACTGACCTTGTGGGTGCTCATGTTCTCCACATATTCCTGAGCATGAACATGGATTGTCCCGTCCTCATCCTGGTGATAGGATCTGCCGCAGAACTTCAAAGTTCCATCAGTCCTCCATTGCCCCCATTCAACTTCTTTCTGCATTTGTTCTTGCATCTTCTTGCATTCTTCGGGATATTTCTTCTCATCCCACGCAATGAGGACATCGTCAACATGTAAAGCCAAAATGGCTATCACTTCTTTTGAAGCTGGGTCACGAAGCACAAAACCGGCAAGCTCGAATGTCAAGCTTTCCCAGCCCAAACGAAGGAGGATTCCCTTGATGGAATGATACCACTGCCTTGCGGCATCGTTCACGCCGTAGATGGATTTCTTGAGTTTGAGCAAGGCACCTGGCTGCACTCCTGGAATCTGAGCCTTTCCAAGATTCTTTGGAGGCTCAAAGTACAGCTCACGGTCAATCTTCAGCCCTTGCAAAAAGGCTCCTCTGACATCAGCTGCTGTCAACTTCATCAGCCTTGATGATGCCAGGCTGCAAATGACCTGAACCAACAATGTAGAGCATGTTGGCGAATCACGACGGAGGTTCTCGTCGTACTCTTCTTGAAAGCCTCTGCCAACGACCCTGCACTTCAGTACAAGCTCTTCCTTTTCATTTTCATCTCTCTTTTCATCATCCTTCTTTGTCCAAACGCCTCTGGAGGAAATCACTTTCTCCGGACTTTCCTTCCGGATTTGTTTGCTTTCATCCGGAGGCACGATGTCGATGGCATCAAAGCGTTGCCATGTGCCAATTTCCTTCTCCACTGCCTTTTGCATAGCTTCCTCGATCTCTTTGTCTGTGAACTGTGGAAGCTGTGACTTCATCTTCTGAGGGTTGAGCTCCGTGTGCTTGTTCCTTTTGGTGTAGGTGTCCATTCTCTCTGCTAGGAATGCCACACACATTGTTTCTCTCTCTTCTGCGGACATCTCAACTCCACCAGATGAGTCCACCTCCTTGTCTTCAAGCCTTCGTCTCATCGCTCCACGAATGGATTCTGGTACATCATCAAGTAGAAGATCACGTTTCCTCTTGTGTTCTTCATCCAAAATGGAACTCGATGGCATACTCGAAGGTTCACCTTGACTCCCTTGAGGAACAGATTGTTCCTCAACATTCTGTTGCTCTTTGGCCTCTTCAATCTTCTTCTTTCGTTTCCTTCTCTTCTTGCTTGAGCTTTCCTCGGGTTTCTTTGGTCTCCTCAGCCTCTTAGTTTCATCTTGATCATCATCGGCTGCTTCTGTTGTCTCCTCTGCTTCACCTTCTTTCTTCCTCTTCTCATGTCTTGCAATTCTTTTCATCTCACGGACTTCACGGGATTCATCCCCACTGGATGTGCATTCGTCTTGATATGTCCGTGCCATCTCCTCTTCTTCTCCTTGAGTAGGTCTCTCTGCTGCGGCACCATCATCAACTGGAGGTTCTGTAGGTGAATAGTCTCCAGCCTTAACATCTTCTCCATCATCGTCAAGATCAACGGGATCTTGAGGTTTTGAGAGGTCCAAAAATCCTTGTTGTCCACCTGGTCGTGCTGGTAGTGTGTCATCATCTTCCAGCATCAATTCTTGTTCCTCTGCAATTGCTCTTCTCAAATTGTGAGGATGCGCCAAAATAGGCGAGCCGCGATGAATGAGCCAGTAGCCTTGAAGATCTTTGCCAATGACTCGAGCTGGTCCATGCCACTGCTTGTACACCTTGTGTTTCAAGCCTTTCCTCTTGTACATCACGAGGCTGTGCATGTCAAACGGACCTGGCTGTTGACGAGTCTGTGACAGCAATGCACGACGAAGCGATGCTGAATGATTGGCTTTCACAAAAGCATGTTCACAATCCTGTAGTAGCTTCATCCGTTGTGCCATTGCGAAATGATCTTCGTTGTCAGCTATTGGAATTCTTCTTCCATCACTCATGATCTCCGGAAGGTTGGGTTGAAAACCAAGGACACATTGAGCAGGCGAAAATCCTCTGAAGTTCGAAAGTCTGTTGATCGTCTGGGTGCACTGAATGACCGCCACTCTTGACAATGTAGCACCACGGATTTCACTGTCATGCACCAATTTCAACATCATTTCTTTCACTGTCAGAATCTTTCGCTCCACAATGCCATGTGACCAATGTGCATCTCGTGCCACAAGGATCTCTTCAATCCCATAGCGATCCAACAAATCACGGAAATCGCCTCTGAGTGATCCATCTTGGTCCACCTGCACTTTCTCCGGACCACCAAACACTTCCATCCAATCCATCAGTGACTTTCGGCACTGTGATGATTGTGGCTTCTTTGGTCTTCCAGGATTGTCACCTGAACATAGGTAAGATGCCATGGTATAGTTTGTTGCCATGTCAACCATCATCAAGAAGGAATGCATCACATCATCTTGATCGGGAATGTGTGCAATGTCCATGGCAACACACTGGTTGAAGTGATTGTACTTGGGCACGGCAGCGATTGGCTTTGCTGGACTGCGTCTCTCCTTTTCACATGTGGGACATGTGAACAGCATTGCCGCCTTGATTGCCCGATCTGAGGCTCCTGACAATTTCAGGTGTCTGCTGAAGTTCTCTTTGTACAATGAATGGGAGTATTGTCGATGCACCTTGGTGATTGCGCTTCTCAAAAGAACGGGTACCTCCTCCCATGTCTGAAGCTCTTCCTCTTCACGTTGACGGAACACCACCTCTGAGCTTCTCTTCAAAGCACTGTGAAAAACATCAGCTTCCTCAAGATGGTACTTCACCTCACCACATTGCTCTTCAAGAAGTGTTTGTCGTTGGATTCCTTCAAGGATGATCACCCCCAACTGAGGTGTCCATTGTCCCAGCAATGATGAGATGTTATGCCCGTCCTTTTGTCCTCTTCCTTGAACTTCGGCATGGTCATGATCACCTGAACAGCGAACACTCAACAATGAAGCCAAAACCGGAGAGGATGTCACGAAACGGGTTGGTTTCAGCACAAAATCACCATTCACGTCCTTCAGATCAGTCATACATTGATCCATCCGCACGGTGTAATGTGGAATGTGCTCCAACATCTCCATCAAATGCCTCCAAGCTTGTGATGACAATGGGTTTTCCAACAAATAATGTCGTCCTTCCAACACTTGCAATTCACAAATCTCCTTCACAAATGTCAGATGTGCTAGTGCTGTCTCTTGTTGTGCTGTACGAGTGTCTTCGTCCAGGAAATTGCTAAGCGGTGTCCAGGGATCACAGTTGAATCCCATGGTGATCAGCTTTGGCTTCTCAACTTTGATCTCCTCAAGCACTAAGCGCCTGTCTTCTTCCTTCAAGAAGTTGTCTCCCAGCAACAAATCCCGGGGACGACCATATGCGAAATCATTGTCTTTTGCCAGCATTGTCACCACACCACCGTCTTTTCCACTGTACAGCTCCTTCACAAGCACCTTTCTCCCACGCTTCATGGCTCCTTTTCGAAGTTCTTTCCATAGAGCTCTTCCATGTTCTTTGGCCTGTTCAGCCATCTGTTGGACTTTCTTTCGAAGTTTCCCCTTCATGATCCTGATCGCCTCCACGTTGTAGTCCTTCGCCTTCAACTGATGAAACACCTCAACCGTCTCACCTGCCAGCCTAGTGTCTTTTCTCTTCTCACTGTTGTGTCCAATGTCCAAGAGCAAATGACCACCTTTGCCATACTCCAAGGTCACCTTCTCTGAACCAATGGATGTGAACTGGATGGTCGGCTTTGGCATTGCAGTGAGATCGATGACTGCACCAAGCTCTTTGAGTTGTGGAAGGCCCAACAACAATGGAACATCAGAATTGGGAATTCGATGTAATGCCACACGACCTTTCTGACCGGCAATGTGAATGTCGATCCACTGCTGATGCTGCACAAGAACTGGTGCGTCAGCATTGACTCCTTTTAGAACCTTGTTGGATGTCTGGAGAGTTGTCTCGCTCCCAAACTTTCCAATGAAACGGTCCAATGTTCGGTCACCACCGCAACCAATCAATGCAGCTGTGTCAACAACACACATTCCAGACGGCACTGTCTCGCGTCCGGCTCCTGCCATGAATGTCAGACTGTGTGGGACTGTTGCCAACTCGGATTCATTTGTCATGAAGGCGTCCACCTGCGACAATGACTGCAGCTCCTCAAAGGTCTCGAACTTGGGCCAGCTGTGGATCTGATCCTCGATGTCAAACTCACGGAACTCCTCCATGCACGACAAGTTCAAACAGTTCAGGGCTTCTTGGCATGATGCGAGCAGCTGTCCTGACGCCGATGCGAGCATCGCTGCTGCCATTCCAGCCCTCTGGAGAAAACCACCCTTGCGGCCTCCTTTCTTTCCAGAGCCTTTCTTGCCGCCTTTTGAACTTGATGATGAACTCGTGCTCTTTGGACATGACTTGTCACCACGCCAGTGTCCCTTTTGTCCACAGTCATAGCACTGCGTCCGTGACTTGATCTGCTGCAACTTGTCTTGTAGCTGTCCTGCATTGAAAGTCACCTTGCCATCCAATGCAATTGCTGTTCGATTGTGGCCAACTGTGTTAGGTTGATATCCTCTGTTGACCTTTCCATCTCTGACCGCTTGTCTCTTGCGAGCATATTCTGAAGCACCTTTACCCATTTTCTGAGCAGTCATAGCGAAGATGTCCAATTCCTCCAGAGATAGGTCATCAACTGCCATCACCTCCACGGCATGTTCCATCTCCTCGATGTCGAAATGGATGTCTTCTTCGACTTCATAGATGGGGACTCCTTCTTCAGCAGTTTCATCATCATAGTACCAGTCATCAACTGCGTACACATCCTCAGTCTCACCATCATAGCTTGACCACTCCTCTTCAATCGGGTAGGCCCATGCGCTTCTTTTGCCACCTGTATTGTAGCTGCTTTGTTGTCTTGACTTGAAACCACCTTTCCAACCCTTGTTGCTGCTGATGTCATCACCACCGTCCAATTGAATGAGCATAGCTTCAACAATCTTGTCCCAATCATACTCATTCCCTGCCTGACCCAGGATGGCACGATGTTGCGATGAGCTCACACCAGCATTCCTCAGTAGCAAAAAGGCTTGCAAATCAGTCGACAACTTTGTATGACCTTGTGTCAGACTTGTCAGCTTCTCATATTCATTCTCTCGGCGACTGATGTAGTCTTGGATGCTTTCGGATGCCTTTCTTCGACCTTTCTCAAAGAAGTAGTCTTCGAAGGTCTGGGTCTTGAGCAATGGAGCAACCTTCTCACAAGCATTCCTCACAACCTTCACCACCAGTTGTACTGCTGCTCGTGGTCCTGTTGTTGTGCTCGGGTCCGATTCACTCAGCTGAAGGAGTTTCTGAGCTGCGATCTCGGGTTTCCTGTGACAGAGTGTCCATGCACGGCCATGCAATGCGTTCTTGAGTTTTGCTGCATAGGACACTTTCTCTTCCTTCATCACAGTTTGAAAACCCAGCCATACCCGCTCTTCATATTCTTCAGCCAACTTTGGATTACCGTCATAATGCACAACGTTGGACTTCGGGTCAACATACAATGATTGCCCATTTGACTGCATTGTAAAATTCGAAATCGTGCAAAATCAAAAAGGTGATACTGCGAGCCAACAAAACTTGCACCAAATTACCTCAGCAACTTCCGAAGTGTCCAGCCTTCACAAAGTACTCGAGAATGACAGTTCCGGTACAATAGTGAGCCAAAAATCACTCCAGACTGCTATCCACCGAACAATGAAGGGCACAAATACGACCGCTCCAAGTTCACCACCTGTCCAGCTCCAGGGCGGGGACACCAAAAACAATCCGCAAGCGAAAAGTCAATGGCAGCGCGCCGACCCAGAGCACCTTAGGCTCCGCCTACCAGTGCAAAGCGCGGAATGAGCGCAAAACGAACCTTTTCACGGGCTCGCTAGGGCTCAAGGCCTAGGTACGGGATTCGAGCCAAGGCATCACGGGAAGTGACCTCATGATGTTCCTCTTGGCTGCTGTGTCCTCTGTCCGTTCGTGAAAGGTCATTCGCATGGTCCATCAACTTTACAATATATATATCTGACAATCTAAAGCTCAGTCTCTAGAGAGTCAACTGTGCCCTTAACGATCTGCCTCCTTTTGTCATGATTCAATCTATACAGCTTCCAAAAATCACCATAACATCTTCCCACGCCCGGCCTTGGATCGAGCCAAAAGACTCTCATCTTCATCTGCTGTATCCTCGCCCTCTCCAAAGACTTCCGCATCGGGCACAGGCATTGGCCCATGGCTTGGGAGTGCTTCAGCTACAAGCCCTCGTTCTCGATGCTTTTGATCTGGCTGCTGTGCCCTTCAGGGGGGGAACAATGAGCTGCAAATGGATCCACATGCGCGGATCAAGGGGTCACTTCCTGGCTTCTGCCACCCAGCCCCCTTCTAGGTCTCAGCTCACGGCTCTTGTTCAGCTCACGGCTCTTTGGCACATTGGCCAAAAGCTTGAAAAGCTCATGGCCAGCAAGGTGACGACTCGACGACTCAGCAGCTCCGACACGGAGGACCAACCACGTCCCTGCGTCCCCGACCATGGACCGCGGAAAGGCCCTTGGGGGGGGGGGGGCCGGTCTGGTTCGTTCGCATCTCTGGATCCGGTCTTCGGGCCTTTGGGCCTTCGGGCCTGGGAAGAGCGAAGGTTCATTCGTCTCTGGGGAGAAAAATCGGCCAACAAACCATGCGTCTTGGATGCACGAAAGGAATGCGTCTGAAAGCATGGGGTTTTCCGCGAGAAGAAAATTTGCCGAAGAAAGGAATGAAAGAGCTAAAGAAACATCTCTAAGCTATCTGCTTCAAGTGATACTGACTATGTTCAGCACTTTACAAGGACTGGCTGAGTGATCATGAGCTCTGGCCTGATACTGAGCAATTAAGAAGCATCTGTGTGAGATGTTGGTCCCAAGCACATACTTGGATTTAAGCACGGGCAAATCTATTGGGTGGGAGACCCGGGGATAGGTGCTGCAAACAAACGAATCGAGTTACAAAACAAGCAAGTGTATCTCAAAACATCACTGCCCGACTGTTCCTCAGTCAAGGCTCTCTGAGGGCTGTGAGAGCAAAAAGCTCCTTCTCCAGCGCCTCTCGGTTTGCCTGCTACACGCTGCCAATCACAAAATCATTTTAACAGGAGGCCCCAATGCCTTTCTTCAACAACACAAAGATTTACAGGTTGAAGATCTTTAAAGCCAAGCTCTTGTTCAGAATACCTCGTTCGTTGTGATTTTGTCGGTCCACCCCCATGAGAAATGACAAACTAGAAATGACAAACTGGCTTCCAAAGGAGCCGTTCTCCCATGACGAATACAAGGGTGGGCCCAATACTGTCTAGGGAATTGAGATTTGGGGAAGGGAAGACTCGGCTGGAGCAGAATTTCCTCAAGTCCCTGACTCTTTCAATCGGAACAAGGAATCTGGCAGAAATTAGGAATTGGAGAAGATTTATAAGAGTAAAATGGGTGACTTCCGCTGTGAAGTAGGGTCACAAGTACCGCAGTGACATTCATTTTCGCTAGAAAAGCAAACTCCTCTGAATAAATCTCTGTGAAATCTAGATCGCCTTCTCGACTTTGGAGCCATCCATTCAGTCCTTGACCGCTTCTATCTCCCCAACTCATCCACCGCTTCTCGAGTCCTTCCGCCAACCTCGGCTTCGACCTATTTTTCACCATCCCCGTCTTTGACGGCTTTAAAAGAAAGAAGTCAACGTCAAACATTTAAGTAGAACAGAATCGTTCATGTGTTTTTCTACTAAAATGATCTATATAAAATGTTTGACAAACCCCCTGAGACCCCCAAGCCTGCGGAAGGCTCTGCACCAAGACCCCCATGCGTTCGGCCGGCTGCACCACCTGCAGGCGTCGTTCTCCGTAAAGGAATCGGCGCGACGTAGGGCTGAGGCAGCTGATGACCGGTCAGGAACCGGTCTCAGTTCGTTTGTTCGGAACTTTCCACATGGTGCCGCCTACTGCCTACTGTAGAGCAGATGGCCCATGGCTTGTCAGGCACTCAGCTTGGCAACCACGGGTGATGAGTGCAACTGATTTGGGCACCTGTGAAGACCGAGAAGCGCAGACGATGTGGCCTTTGAAGGTCGGCCGCCACGTGTCCGAAAACCACGTCCCACGTCGAACGAAAACCATGCGGTGGCCTAGCCATCAAACCAGACATGCTGGTTCCAGCACTGAGGCACTGAGGCGCTGAGGCCATGCAAAACCGCCGAGCAAACTCTTCTAGGAAAAAGAGTATACCCTACAGGTCCAAAGACCCAGTAAAACCTGGTGCTGCTCTATCTTGGTTTGATCTGTAGGGATATGCCAGGTACACAGATTCTGTGATGTTCTTCCTGATCGAATTTGCTTCAACGCCGAACGCCCCAAAACCCCCCACCCTCCCCCCACCTTTCGAAGTGCGGTGGGCTGCCCGGGCTTCGACGGTGCCGTCAAGTTCACCTGTGCTCGAAAAAGACCACGGCGAGAACTCACCCGAGAGCATCCTTGCATAAAGATAGGATACTCCCTCCTCTCTCCTCTCTCTTCTCTCTCCTCTCTCTTCTCTCTCCTCTCTCTTCTCTCTC